CGAGAGCTTGGTCTCTCCCTTCCAAAACCACTCAAAAACTGTCTGCCCTTTGTCCTCCTTCTTCTGCTATTTTTATTCTGCTAATAACTGCCTAGAGGCAGTTACGCTTGCCCCACACTAATAGCATCTAGTCCTAATTAAAACAACAATAACTGCTAAAATAATTAATAACTGCTAAAACAATTCAGTCCTATTATAAAACCTAAGTCTTGGCACTCCTCTTATAATATTTACTTATAAGAGGCCTAACAATACTCCCCCCCAAAAGAGTCACCTTGTCCTCAAGGTGAAAGAAGGAAATTGCTTCATGATGGGTTCCACTGGTTCCCAAGTGGCTTCAAATTCTGGCAGGTCAGTCCACTGAATAAGCACTTCGGCAATCCCGTGAGCAGTGTTACGCACTACTTTCACAGCAGCTGGGGTTACCTGCAATTCCAACTCTTCCGACAACATAGGTGGTAAAGGCTGAGGAGTTGCTGAGGGAGAGAGGGCCTTCTTGAGTAAAGAAACATGGAACACAGGGTGAATTTTACTCTCTGGTGGAAGGGCTAACTGAAAAGCAACTACTCCAATCTGTTTTGTGATCTGATAAGGACCATAAAAACGTGGACTCATCTTCTCATTTCTCTTTCGAGCCAATGACCGTAGCCTATACGGCTTGAGCTTGAGATACACCCAATCACCAATAGCCAAGGATACTGCACGTCGAGATTGGTCAGCATACTTCTTCATTTGATTCTGGGCTGTGACCAAATTTTCCTTGAGATCATGTAACATTTGATCCCGGTCATAAGTCATCAGGTTCACCTCTTCCACAGTTGACGGAATAGTGGTTCCCTTCAGAAGATGGGGTGGATCGCGGCCATATAATGCTTTGAAAGGAGTCAATTTTAGAGAGCTGTTGTAGTTGGTGTTAAACCAGAACTCAGTCCAACTCAACCACTTAGGCCACTGCTTAGGCTTACTTCCAGTGAGGCACCTCAGATAAGTTTCTAAGCACCGGTTGACCACCTCAGTTTGTCCATCTGTTTGGGGATGGTATGCGGTGCTAAACTTGAGTCGAGTGCCGACCAATTTGAACAATTCTGACCAGAAGTGACTGAGGAATATTTTGTCACGATCCGATACAATTAGAAGAGGGGAACCCATGCAATTTAACTACCTCTGTGATAAAAACTTCAGCAACCTCTTTTGCAGTAAAAGGATGACTAAGTGCAAGGAAATGAGCATATTTAGTCAATCTATCAACCACTACTAAGATGACATTTTTTCCTTGAGCCTTGGGAAGCCCTTCAATAAAGTCCATTGATATATCAGCCCACACTTGATTGGGTATGGGTAGTGGTTGAAGAAGTCTTGCCGGAGATAGAGCTTGATATTTATTCCTTTGGCACGTCTCACACGTAGCTACGTGATGCTGGATGTCTTTCCTCATGCCTTCCCAATACACAACTTCAGAGATTCTTTTATAGGTTCGAAAGAAACCCGAATGGACCCCTATAGCAGAGTTATGAAATTCTTGTAACAATAATGGTATGTGAGAAGAGCCTTTTGGAAGGACTAACCTACCTTTATAAAACAACTTCTGATTTTGAAATTTATAGCCCGGATGGGAATTACAATCTTTTATCAAATCATGAATTATCCCTTGAAGCTTAGGATCTTGATGAATTTCAGATTCCCAATCTGCCATTTGCTCAAAGTGGATTGAGGACAAGGCAGAAAATGTCATTTTTCTAGAAAGAGCATCAACCACTCCATTCTCCCTTCCTGGTCTATAACGTATTTCAAAATCCAAACCCATAAGTTTTGAGGTCCACCTGAAGTATTCCTCGCTCACTAGTCGCTGTTCAGTCAGAAATTTAAGGCTCTTTTGATCAGACAGAATTATAAAGTGCCTTCCCAACAAGTAGTGCCTCCATTTTTGTACAACCATCACAATTGCCATTAATTCTCTCTCATATACTGACTTAGATTGAGCCCTATCAGATAGAGTCTGGCTGAGGAAAGCCACAGGCCTACCCTCTTGCATTAGAACTGCCCCTAGCCCTTTGTTTGATGCATCAGTTTCAATAATAAATGTTTTGGAGAAATCGGGGTCAGTCAATATAGGCAATTCGGACACCAGGTGTTTTAATTTGTCCAAGGCAGCTTGTGCTTCAGCATTCCATTGAAATTTATCCTTCTTCAATAGTTGAGTCAAAGGCCTGGCTATCTTACCATAGTCTCGAACAAACCTTCTATAGTAACCTGTCAATCCCAAAAATCCCCTCAAAGCTTTAATATCCTTAGGTATTGGCCACTCTAACATAGCATCAATTTTTCGTGGATCTGCTGCCACCCCTTGTGCTGAAATGATATGACCCAAGTATTCCAATTGAGTTTGGCTAAAAGTACATTTTTTTTTGTTAGCAAACAATTGGTTCTCCTTCAATAATGCCAAAACTGCCCGTAAATGCCTCTGATGGCCATCCTCACCCTTACTGTAAACCAGAATATCATCAAAGAAAACGAGTACAAATTTCCTCAAATACGGCTTTAGCACCTCGTTCATAAGAGATTGAAAGGTGGAAGGAGCATTGGTGAGCCCGAAAGGCATGACAAGAAACTCATAATGCCCTTCATGAGTTCGAAAAGCTGTTTTATGAATGTCCTCTTCCCGCATCCTAATCTGATGGTAACTGGATCGTAAATCCAACTTGGAAAAAATCACGGCTCCTCCCAATTCATCAAGCAATTCATCAATAATAGGGATAAGGAACTTATCTGGTATAGTAATCTTGTTAAGAGCCCGGTAATCTACACAAAAACGCCATCCACCATCTTTTTTTTTCACCAAGATTATAGGACTCGAATAAGGACTAACACTAGGTCTAATGATACCAGATTTAAGCATATCATCTATCAACCTTTCAATTTCATTCTTTTGATAGTGTGGGTACCTGTACGGTCGGAGGTTGGGGATATTAGATCCTTCCTTCAATCGAATTGCATGGTCCTGTCTTCTGGGAGGTGGTAATCCTTGCGGCTCTTGAAAGATTGAATCGTAATCTTCCAAAACCAATTTTGTCCAAGCGGGACAAGTTGCTGGTTCTTTGCTTTCAGCTTGCATCTGACAGTATGTTACTAGGAATCCATGACCTTGATCACGTAGAGCCTTTAAAATAGACTTTAAAGAAGCTAAAGCTCTAGTTAAATCGGAGTCTCCCTTCAGTGTGTGATATTTGCTCGTAATCGGAATTCTAAGAGTTAATTCACGAAAATTTGCTCTTATTTCTCCTAGACTAGCCAACCATTCCATTCCCAACACCACATCCACTCCTCCAAGATCAAAGACATAGAAATCTTGTTCAATGTTTAGACCTTGTATCTCCAACTTCAATTTAGGACACACCCCTTCACAATCCAGCTTTCTTCCGTCACCCACCTCCACTGTATAAATGGAGGTTGCATACATATCCAGTTTCTGTTGTTTCACAAACTTGGCTGAAATGAAATTATGAGAGGCTCCACAATTAATAAGTACCATGACCTGTTCTTCCCCAATCTTACCCCACAATTTAATTGTTTTCTTTGATGTAAGGCCAGCAATGCTACACATAGATAACTGAATGTGTGTTAGCTCTCCGTTTTCATCAATCGCCGTCATTTCTCCCTCTACATCTCCTTCTTCTTCCCCTTCGGCCAACACTAAAATTTGTAATTGTTTATGTGCACACACATGGCCTGGACCAAACTTTTGATCACACCTGAAACACAATCCCTTCCTAGACCTCTCTTGCAACTCTGCATCTGTTAACTTTCTAAAGCTTCTTCCTCTAAAAGTATTAGAAGGTTTCACCACACTTCCCTCTCCAGTAGAACTGCCAGTTCCGAAAACGTGGGGCTGTTGCTTTGCTCCCGGTTCCCACGTCACTTTGCAATTACTATTATATGTTCTCATTGGCCTGCTCATCATACTTGTTGAATTTCCCCCTTTTGTGATCAATTGGTTCTTCTCATCCACTCTTTGTGCACAATCCATTAAATCAACCAAGCTTTCTGTTGGGTGAAGCTTTAATTCTGCTTTAATTAATTCCTTAAGCCCATTCAAAAAGATGCCCTTCAAGTATGCAGGTTCTGCACTCTTTAATGGACCAGCATAGAGTTCAAACTTCTCTCTGTATTCCTCCACGGAGCCTGTTTGCTTGAGACTCAACAACAGTTCAAAAGGATTGTCAACCATGGTTGGTTGGAAATGCCTAATAACCGCTACTCGAAAATCCTCCCAAGTCGGTTGGTGCGTAGAGAACTCCCACCATTGATACCAAGTTAATGCTTTTCCTTCCATCGCCACCATAACCGCCTGTAATTTTTCCTCTCCAGACATCCCTTTTAAATCAAAGTATCTCTCCACTCTGGTTGTCCAGCCATACGCATCCTCTCCATCAAAAATAGGTATCTCTAACTTTCTCCACCTATCCACTTTGTATCGCCCACCATTGTGGCCCCCCTGTGGCCTGCTCGGAAGGATTGTGTGGCTTGCTTCGCTGTTCTCTTCCTCCTGTCTCGCATGAATTTCTCGCACTGATGCTTGCACTTCATTTAACTGTTCTGCGCTCTTCACTATTGTTTCACGCATCACCAGCAAACCTTCAAACCCCCTTTCCAAAGCCTCCACTCTCGCCTCCATACTGCGTGTCGACACCATGAATTAGTCTCCAGGAACGTGTTGCTCTGATACCAGTTGATAGACACCAACTGGTATGAGAATAAGGACTGAAGTTTATTTAATTTAACTGGTACAGAATACAAATTATATAGGAAATTTAGTAAACTGATTTGAGTACAAAGGTTCCCTCACAAGATGTTCGAGAGCTTGGTCTCTCCCTTCCAAAACCACTCAAAAACTGTCTGCCCTTTGTCCTCCTTCTTCTACTATTTTTATTCTGCTAATAACTGCCTAGAGGCAGTTACGCTTGCCCCACACTAATAGCATCTAGTCCTAATTAAAACAACAATAACTGCTAAAATAATTAATAACTGCTAAAACAATTACAACAATAACTGCTAAAATATTTAATAACTGCTAAAACAATTCAGTCCTATAATAAAACCTAAGTCTTGGCACTCCTCTTATAATATTTACTTATAAGAGGCCTAACAACTTCATACAATCTCAAGCCCAAATTCCTAGCAGCCTCATTCTTAGTACGAAGATTTGCTACTGAATTGAATTCTATAGCTAAACATGTTGGATAGTCATTTTTGTTCCTAGATCACTAGATGCTTCAATGGATCGAAAAATTGGACAAGTTGATGGCACAAATGACGACCCTAATGATCTTCCTTTAAAATCTTGACGTAAGAGTGAGAATCAAAACAGTCTGGCCTATGTGAAGCCTCTTTTCACTACAATTTTAAGAACGTAGATCTGACCATTGGTGCATGTTCCAAGAGAATAAGAGAACCCGTAAAGAAACATACCATTGTGGTCTTTGGCAGCCACCCCGCATGCTCCTTGAGGACTTGTACTCGAGAAAGCACCATCCACACACTGATTTTAAGTCACTCTTCTCCCGTTGGTTTCCAACTGTAGTAGAGGGTGTGGTATTAAAAGTTCGGATTTGCACGGGGTAACCAAACTCATGGACGAATTAAGAAAATGATGCTCTCATAAGTATTGGAATATTACTTACAACCTAGATTTTCAATCTGAAAAGTACAAAACAACATACAATTAAACACACGCTTGTTAAAAAAATAACTAAACATACTATATGTTTATACAAAACTACAAGATATCGTTAGAGACTAGTGTGCAATGGAATAAAAGAATTAACAATAGTAAAATATTACAAAGAAGTTCGCAATAACTAACAAGTTCCGAGCGAGGAATGTTACTATTCAGATAATAGAGAGAAAACCAAATAGATTGGAGATAAAGGGAAAAAGAGAATGTTTAAAGCAACTCTTTAACGTTCAAAGTTTACAGGATTGGATTTAAACTAATCTCAAACTCTCGTAATTCTGCTAGCATATGGACTCTTGGTTTTGTTCGAAACATAGGTTCCTCAAATGTCATCATGCATGGGTGAGTTGTGGGGGATCCTATCAGCTTTGGAGGTTGCTTGCACAAATGGTTTATAAATTTATTTGGATTGAGAGTGACAGTAAGTTTGTTGTGCAGTTTGTGACTCTAGGAGTGCACAACTCTCAATCTCATGCTTATTTTCGTATGGTATCAACAATTCTTGTTGGATCCGGAGGGACTGGCGTGTACGCATGTTGTTTTGATTTGCTTGCTTCTTGGGCTCTTCGGTGGGATATTGGGTTGCATTGCATGTTCTAGGAATCTAGATAGTCACCCCTATGGCTTCTATTCATTTAATTATTAAGGATCGATGTTATGGGGTTGCCATCACCGTCTGTAGTTTTGATGATATCACTGATCAACGTCTTTATCACATAATATTTTTGCTTCTCATTTTGGACAATTAGTAATGATTTTTTGCCTTCCTTTACAAAAAAAAAAAGTGACTCTTATTTATCACTTTAGGTTAACATTGTGACTTTGTAAGAGTTTATAAATATAAAGAAATAAGTCAAACATATATGTTATATTTTCCTATTTACATTTAACATCATCATTTTTCGAAAATTATAGGTAGATTTTTCTAAAATTGTGGGAAAATTTTCGTTTAGAAATGGAAACATTATTTATCAACTAATTAATGGATGATGATAATTTTTTTATAATAATTTTTATATCATTTGATATATACATTTTATTTTAATATTTATAGACTAAATTTTTTTAGTGTCCCTCTAAAAATGGGCTATTGAATAGTCGTCCCTCAATTTTCACATCACCTATTTTACGTCGGACATACAAACACTCGACGTAATAAAAACGCAGTGGCATGTTTCGTAATTTTAGTTAAATTATTTACATCGGACCTCCTAGGGTCCGACGTAAATTTTAACATCTACGTCGGCTATGCATTGTGTCCGACGTAGATGTTAAAATTTACGCCGAACCCTACTAGGGCCGACGTAAATAACCCACAGGACCCGTTAAAAGAAGGTTTACATAGCTAGAGATTTCAAAAACTTCCTTCTCCCGCGCGTTGTGCAATGGAGGCCACACCTCCTCCTCCTCAAATCCCTCTGCCTCCTCCTCAAATCGTGGCTGTCCTCATAGTCGGAGCCACTCTCCCGACGACCTCATCCACCTTCCTCCACACCATGCGCCGCGAGTGGTCTAGCATCAACACCCTCCGCCTCGACAAGTTCTACCTCCTCCAGAGCTTCGGAAGGTTGGAGAAGAGGTTGATTCACGTGATGATGTTCTTCTTCGTCGTATGGTTGCGTTGGTCATGATTTTTCTGGGGGGGTCTATGAGGTGGCGTCTTCTGTTGAGTGTGTTCACGGGAATAGGAAGGGGATGTTTGCGTTGCATTCCGAGTTTTTGAAGCTGGAGAAGGAAGTGGCCAAGTCCGGGTTTGGAGAACCCACTCCTGGTTTTATCAAGCAGAGCAGGCCGTTCTGTTTGGAGAACGGCCCGTTCTCCACGTAGAACGGGTCGTGCTCCATGCAAAACGGGCCGTTCTCTCTAACCAGAACGGCGCGTTCTACATGCAGTTGTTTTTCTTTTTCTTTTTCTTTTTTTTTTTTTAAATTTTTTTACAACTTTTTAAGGCGGACCTTGGCATATCCGACGTAAATTTACGTCAATTTTCGAGACCGACGTAAATTTATGTCTCCCGCTTCGACATCAAAGGTTTTTCTGACGTAGAATCCTTAAAATAACCGACGTACAATGTATATTCTGTACTAGTGCTATGACTTTTAGGACCATCATTATGTGTAATCTCATAACGAGGTTGGTTCAAAAGTGAGAGAGACCTAAAATAATTTATGAGAAAAATCATTTTATTTTAAATAAAAGTTATAAATTAATTCTTTTATCATATATATATATATATATATATATATATATATATAATATAACTT